CAATGAAATAGTGCTAGAATCAGGATCTAACTCTAGGGTCCAACATGGGTCAGTCCCCTCTCGGCAATGCCACACCACGTCGGGGCACTGTAGAAGGGATGAACAGGGAGGCCTTTCTATTCTTTTGATCTGTAGCTGGTCATCCACCCTGAGGCACAAGAAAATGATAACCTATGATGTACTGATCTCCATGCTCCAACTGGTAGACCACAAGTGAGGGCACAAGAGGTGACATATGGTCGGGACCCTTGAGATATAAATGGTGTTTGTCTTATAGCCCACAAAGAGAGCTAGCACTGTTAAACCGAGAGCAGCCATAGCACCCTGCTTTTGTACGTATTCTGTTGAAATTCATGGACTCCTGGTTTCAAATCATTTAATCAAAATTAACATTTCATTTGTTCATGATCACATGAATTCCACATAGTGCCTGACTGAATGCAGACTGTTTACATGTCGCGGAAAGAAATGACAATCTGGCAACCAGAATTACACACCAAAGCTCCCACACCAAATATTGAAATCATCTTAAACATCATTAAGAATAATAAAATATTACAGTTAAATGAAGGAATATCACATTCATATCAGTCTGCAGCCACAATGGAGCTAGATTTCCTGACTACTCTCTGCAATCTGAAAATATTGTCACTCTTTATATATAATCACTAGGATAATATAGGGTCTCCAAAATAAAAGCTTGTTAATGAGGCACTATATGCTGTAACCCATCCTGTCTCTGTGAGAGTGATTGCATGCTGGGAGAGGCCTTTAAATGGCAGATATTGTTGTGGCACGTTACCTGTTATAAAGGGGTTAAAACATTTATTTCAATCTCATTTTACAGCCAAGACTGAGATGGACAGCCCATAGTATGGAGTATCCAGGCTAATGAGTATAGCTCATCCCATCTGCAGTTTGAAGCATCATTTCAAAGAACTGGAAATCATTTCAAGCTGAATTAAACCACACAGCGGATGCCATAACACATTAGCTGGAGTTCCTGGTAGCCTTGGCTGGCATACATAAAATGAAAGACGATGATATAGTAATATTGCTATGAATATCACGCTGCAAATAAACATCACCAGAGTTCCAAAGAAGAAATAATCTTCATAGTGCAAATATCAGTAAACACGGGAAAAGAGCTATTTACTAAACCAAGAGTTGTCAGAAATTGTCCAGGGAATTAAACATTTTAGAACAAACAGGGGAGTTGGAGTTTTTGAAAAAAAATTTTTAATTACCTTGACAGTTCCGGATAATTCTAGATTTAGTGATCAATTCTGATTGAAAATTTTAAAAAAAAACTATTCATTTAATAGACTGAGCACATATCATACCGAAATGCATAGAACAAAACGTAACTTCATATTTTATATATAACAACATTTCCTATTCTAATAATGGAAGATACAATATTCTAAAGTACACGAGGAAACATTGATCATTAATCAATTAACGAGAGTACGCAGCATGTTCTTTCCGACGAGGTGAATCCAGGTGAAACGTTTAACCCTTATTGATTAAACCAGTTATGTCTCCTTCAATTAGTGTTTGACAGATGAAGGAAATAAAGAAGGATTCTCGATGTTTGTGTGTGTCATTCGGAGCTAATTGAGCAAGGATGGCGTTTTAAATTTCATTTAACAAAGTATGGATGTTTTTGCCAAGTGAGATGATTTCATGCAGTGGTTATTAACATGTGGTCAGAACCTGAAATTATGTCCGTATGCTATTTTAGTGGGCCGCAATTAGTTGGACCAGGTGCTTAGTATTCATCAAGTTGTAGATCACTTCCCACAATGTATAGTTTATTGTTACCGTGCTGTCTATCAACATAAGGGCAGTTTACATGCTGCCAGGATACACACTACGAGCGGACCTATGATATATTACCCATCCTGCTTTCTACAGCATAGCTACACTACATACCTATCACGCAAAGTAGTTATTGTTTTTCCCCCTAACGAAACAGATTCGACAAACCAGTCTACCATTATACTTCCTGACATGAGCCTGATGTTTATCTTGTTTGTCCTATATTATAAAATTTGTGCAATTAACTCATATATATCTTCAAAATGTGCCTGTTTAACAAATGCTCCTACTGTTAACCATGAAAATTAGCTCGAGGACTGCCGTTGGGGACCACGAGCCTGTATGTTACACCTAGCATGCACAAGAAAAATATTAAATAATAATAAAATAAAAAATAATTAAAAATGGTTTAACACTGGGTAAATAATACCTCATTTAAATATGTTTTTAATACCACTGCAAAGGCCATTAAAGTAAAATCCTACTCTAACAATCCACCATGATGCCTTTAGCCTAAAGGCAAAATCTCGAATAAGTCAGAATGGAGTGTTTTTATCGACACTTGCATGCTAATTATGTTAGAGAACACAAGGGGTTGGCGGCAGCACTGTAACGTGGCTGTGTATAAGAAAAAGAAAAGAACACAGAAATAAGCCCAATTCTCAAATTCCCACCGCTTTTGGGTGGCAGCAATGGCTAGTTGGCTACAGTATGAAATATATAACGAAAACAACAAACAAAAAGTTACCTGTGCACCAACTCCATTTCCTAAGCTCATTTAAATAACAGATATTTTCGTATCACTGCAATGACCATTAAAGTGTAAGTTCACATGACAATGACATGGCAAACCACTTAGTTGAGTCCTACACTAACAATTCACCTTGCTGCGTTCAGCTAAAAGTCATCTTCACTGCATTACTGCCTGTGATGGTGGTCCTGAATCCAGGAAGCTCACAGTTAATCAGAACACAGACTGTATAACATATTAATAGCATTAGGTAGCATTAGAAGGCTGACCCAAGTTGACTATTGGAATTTAAAGGAAACACCTGACTATTAAAGGGACACACCACTGCCCAAATAAAAAAAAGATATCACTATTTCGTAGATATACCACCAATGGAATCATACGTTCATTTAATTATGCATTTTTTTTTATTGTGGATATATGTAAAAACAGCTCACAAAAGGTGCAGATCTCTAGTCCGCAATATTTGCAAACTTTCTGTGGACGTCCAATCACAGACTTCCCAATGCAGCTCAACGAGAAGTCTTGCAAGTCAGGTGCTCTTGGCAATTGCTACCGTTCGAGTTTATCTCCACTGAGATAAACAACCAGGACGTAACAGAATCTGTTGTCTGATTGATAGCTGGGGGGAGAGTACCAGGTTAATTTATAAAAGTGCAAATTTCTATTGAAATCTGCACTTTTTGTAAAATGAAAAAAAAAAGAGGACACACTCTTCGCGCATATATCTTTCCAGCTAGCTAAAGTGCTTTGGGGGGTTTGTGGTATCCAGTTACGTTTTATGGATGTTGTTTCCAATGATGCTAAGTCAGGCCAAGAAAGATTGTTATGCCTCCCATGCCATATGCTATGAGTATGGCACCCAACTTTAATGCAGATATAGATGTCTCATGTGAATATTATATTAATTATAAATGAGTAAGAATGAAGCATATTTATAAAAGGTTGTATAGCATTTATTTATTTTGCTATTATTTCTTTATACAGACTATTTCTTTTTATTTAATCAACATCTCCCGTTGCGGTGATTTTTCACTATTGATTTAAGTCAGTAAACGCAGTGGGTCGGGTTTCCGGGAGATTTTTATCACAGTAGCAGAATGGAAGAATCCAATTACAAAAAGAGCCAAGTGTTTGAAAAGGTTCTAAAACTGAAATGTTGTTTCCAATTATACCATGAAAACTAAGCTGCCAACTTCATCTTTCTTTTGTGTTATTTTAGGAAATATCAGCCTCTATTATTTAAACCCCCTGGTGCTGATTAGGGCTAGTTACAAATTTCACATCTCACATCTCCGTCTTCTCATCATCGAGGCAAAACTTTTTATTGCTTATGATGTTGTGGAATACGCACGATGTAGAGGAAACGTGTTTCGATGATTTATGAGAAATTGATATCATGGAGCATAATGTAAGGTTGACGGCAAAGTCCCAATGTTTTTTATTGGCAGTATTACAATATTGATTGAAGGCTGGCTCTATAATTTGTGGTCTATTAGTTATTTGAGTTGATTGCCGTCTGTGTAAAAAACAGATACATTTCGTATCTTGTAATAACTTTTTTATTGGACTAACAGAATTTAAAATAACTTTTTTTTTAAATGTGTCTCATCTGCATTCATGTTGCATTCATGTTGCTTTAGCCCCTGTATCACAACTCAACTTTGAATTCTATGTGTCGTCTTGCTCAGAAATGCTTTAGACTTAAGAAAGGGAGGCTCTCCCAAAAACTTGTCATAAAACAATTCTGTTAGTCCAATAAAAAAGGTATTACAAGATACAAGTTTTATCTGTTTTTCACATCTACATCACTGGACTAGTATGGCTACACTCTCTACTTATATATATATAACTGCTATATATATAGTGCACTATAAACTTTAAAGCCCACAAAATGTCTTATAAGATCCATCTTTTTGGGGCTTTCCGCTGTGTAATATTTAAATAAGGCCTGTAATGAGGAACTTGACTCCCTTTGGTTATGCGCCCCTCTATGTCACAGGTGCCTCTTGACAGGCCCAAATTAAACTTTGCACTGCTGAGAGCCGAAAAAGAATAGGTGTCCCATATAAGTGCGGTTATTCATTGGGAGCTCTGTAAATAGTGCCAGGTGTATGCAATGTATAATCATATACTGTAACTAAATCCCCATGATTTTTACCTAAACCAGGTGTTTAAAAACAATTCTTGGAGAGCGGGGCCAAGCAGCTAAATGGAGCAGACGCCATTTCACACAGCTCCATGCCCTACAATCTAAACCTAAAAAAAATTGGCCAAATTACGCTTCATCGACTTCCAGAAGTGACAGTTGAGTCTGACTGAATCTTTTACAGATCGAATACCAAATCGACCCGCAAGATACCTGTGGTTTCCTGCTGGGCACGCGGAGACCCTAACCGACTGGGCTCAATACTCACCTCCTCCTGACATGGCGCATAACTCACCAGAGATGGGACACACAAGGCCAAAGACTACGGCCACAACAAACCCCAGGACGAGAGACATCAGTAAATTATTAACGTGCACTCCGATCCCAAAAGATCTGTCCGAAGAAGAAGTCAGTCCTCCCCGAACAAGGCCTAACAAACCCACTCCATCAGGCTCCAGTGCACCCGCAGCAATGCCGGCCTCAACACCCTCCACGAAACAAGACATAGCAGACCTCTACGATCGAATACGCACACTGTTTGATGCGGACATAGCGCTGGTGAAGGAAGATATGCATGTAGTCACAGAGAGGCTGTGGGTCACAGAGGAGGAAGTGATGGGCCTCAACGCATTGGAGGAGACTGTACTAGCACTGCAGTCTTCACAAGGTACTACAGCTACTACTAAACACAAGGTGGATGCCATGGGTGACCAAGACCCCAGAAAGAACCTTAAGATCAGAGGGGTATCTGATATGGTGATATCAGAAGAGCTTCCCCACATGCTCTGACTGCGGTACTACCCGCCAAACAGACGAAGTCGATAATACTGGATGGTGTGTACTGGATCGTCAGGTCACCAAGAGCGCCCGTGGCTTGCCCTAGGGACATTATCGTGCGATTCCAATCCTTTGCTGACAAGCAAAAATTCATGCAAGCTATGAGGGGCAAAACACCTCTGGCCTTTGAGTCACATCAATTGACTTTCTACCAGGATCTTACCTGTTCCACCCTGCATTGGCACCAAGCCATGCGGCCTATAACCCAAAGATTACAAGAAGCGAGTATACCATACCAGTGGTCCACTCCACGGGCCTTGACAATGCAGGCAGCGGAGACAACCCACAGGATCACATCGCCCGACGAGGCTCCCAAATTCCTGACAGCTCTCGGCATTGTGGAACCACCGAGCGAGATCCAGAGGCCTTCGTAAGGACACGGCTGGGATGTCCCGAACATCAGGCCCTTCATTCCCTCCATGGAATGGGACTCAGTGACTTAACTATGCTATAGCAACCCGTTAAACCAATACTCCTATAGTTGGGAAAAGTTATGTATTCGTTTAATTATGTTTTATGGTGGTTTCTTTACTTTGTAACTGTCAACATTTTTCTTATGGGTTTAAGGCGTCAGAGCCGCTTCCCAAGACCAGGAAAATAGTGCCACATAGGCAAATAAGCAGAGGGGAAGTACCAAAGTGTGACGAGAGCAATCTTGCCACATTGCATTGGAGAAGCCTGGTTGCTCGCCTGCTGCCTTTGGACTATGGCCCCATGTTAAAAGACATCTTTTTCCCTGCAGAAAAGACGTATTCATGCTTTTCTGCCTGGTGTTCAGTAGATTCAATCTACCGAACAACCGCCACGAATGACTAGACCACCTGGGAGCTTGGGTGTGCCGGCAATTAGCCTCCCTGAAGCTGCGGTTAACCGCAGCTTAATTAACGACTGCTTGGTGGCCGCCATTCGTATCACGAACACGAGGTCGCGGCCATTTTAAACCCGCGAACGCGCAGCGGTGTTCGACACTCAATTCATGGAACTAAAATCGGACACAGTTTTGCACGAACACCACTGAAGCCGCCGACCTCCCTTCTTGTTCGGTGAAAGTGCACGAACGGCCCGGTGTTCGGTAGTTTTACTTGAATATGTTATACCCCAGATAGGAATCCCATGGAGCCCATCCGCATGAGAACTGACTGTGTAAAGACTTTGGCTCCATGGCGATTACACTGTATTCGTGTGGTCTGAGCGCCATTCGCTTAATAATGTGCGCTCAGACCTGAGCTATCTGGGGATATGTATAAATGTATAGTTTTATTGTAACTTGTGTCATACTGTGTATTTTAATAGTAATTCATGTTTTAGTATCCCCACGTGCATCATGGCGATTTGCCTTTGTCTTGGGAGATAATTGAATTACTTCTCAATTATCTCCAAGGCAGAGGGGAGGAAGCCAGGATGCATTGTGGGAATATAATGTGACTGTGTGTCCTATTTGTCTACTTGTCTGTTTTTTGTCACAGTATCCCGTTTGGTCCCCTAGGGGAGTGTCCACCAGGTGGGAGACCTGCATAAATACTGGGCAGGTAGCCCTCATTAAACTGACCACTGCTTGACCCTCAAAACGGAGCCTTGTTGGGGGGATTTACTGAACGCTGATAGAGACTGATTGCTAGGAGTGTAAGCCGCTTGGATGCTTTTCCTATTCGTCTGCTAGCAGCGATTCGTATGGTTCCAGTTCGTGTGTTTGGAGTGCTATATTGTATGCCGTTCGGGAGTTTGGAGCATTCCCTTATTGGCGGTTCGTGAGTTTTGTGTTCTACAGTAGCTGTGCCTGCATCTCTGGGAAGGGGAAGATCTACTAAACGGCGGTTTAACCCTTTTATGCCTGGGGGTGCCGTTACACAAAGCTTTTTCCCTAGGATACTGCAAACAAGGTACCATCCTCCCCCCTACCCCTCGCAACCCTCTTGGTTAGGGGTGATAGTCCACACAGTGAGCTCCACAAGATTAAAAACGGTCAAATGTGCTCCCTCACAGCACAGACGGATACACAGATCATCCTTAGGCACCCTTAAACTAGACCCGTCCTCCCTAGCAATACCTGAATCCTAACCAGGTACCTGAGAAATAGTGATACAGCACTATGGTCAGCCTAGATGCAATAGCAACTCAATACACCGACAGCTCAAGCTCATTCATAAGCGACTATTGACACAATTCACTTTACCTAAGTCGAGTATTCCCAGAAATGACCCAACCAGACATATATTATATATAAAAAAGGAACTTCTTGTTGGTGAATAGCTTCTTTATTGGATAGAGAGCACTTATCACTTTTTTCACTATATATTATATAAAAAAGTTCTGAAAAACTGGAATACCATGTTCATATATTATGTTTATTGTTTCTCTTAGATTTGCCTGGCAATACTGTCGTGGTATGTCTGGCTTGCTTGTTATTTTGTTTCAACAGCACAATAAAATAAAGATTGTGTGTGCTTATTTCTCTTATTTTCTAACCCCAGACTTTATATTTCAGACTGGGCCCCTAAAAACAGCATTGATTAACTACACGCAGTACTCACAAGCAACCAAACCCTGCAGAATATTCTAAGCAGAGGTATCATCTCTGGAAGGCTGCCCACCCTGCCCTGCCCTCCCCACACCACCCCACCCCATGGTCATTACCATGCTTATAGATAGTGCAGATAAGCTGGTCTTCAAAACACACCAATCAAGTCACTAAACCTCTACTCATCTGAAATCCTTCTGTTAACAAACTGCACCCTTAACCATGGTTTAATCACTCACAGGTATATGTTTATATACATACATATGTATAATCTTCATATCTATACAACAAACCACATTTTCTCTATATAATGTTGTCCCTTCTATTTTTCACTTTTACACTAACTTCACTCATGACCAAAATATCCCTATCCTTCTGCTCACCTGTCCCTGGCAACACCATCTTCATTACTTCCACTTTACTCCCCTTCCAACTCTATTGATCCGATGCACTCTACATATACCTTTCCAGCCTATCTCCTCTAACTCATCCCAAATCCTCTATATACATACCCTTGTACAAAACTTTCAAATCCTACTCCCACCTTCACTTCCTTTCTATCCTTCAGCTCCTAGCAGCTGGCGATGTCTCTCGAACCCCTCACCCCATCTCGGCAAACTCACCACGTACGAACTCAAGGAACCACACCAATCTCATACCCATCTCATGTTACTCTTCTTCTAAATCCTTCTTCAATACTGCCCTGTGGAATGCATGCTCTGTTTGCAATATTACAAAATCCACTGCTGTCCACGACCTCTTCATCTCTCGTTCCCTAGATTTACTAGCCTTAACAGAAACATGGCTCTCCCCCTCTGATACTGCTACCCCTGCATCTTTATCCTTTGTGGTCTTCAACTTACCCACAAGCCAAGACACTCTGAATGTAAAGGTGGTGGTGTATGGTTTCTCCCCTCACCTCACTGCTCCTTCAAACCTCTACCCACACCCTTCCCTCTCTTTCCCATCATTTGAAACGCCTTTTCAAACCCTTCTCTACTAACATTGCAATTATTTATCACTTATAATGGCCGGACTCACTTACCAAAGAATAGTCAGGGGACACCGAAAGGGACACAACGATAAAGGAAAGCCAGAGGTCAGGGATACCAGAAAACAGGGAAGTCAAAATCAATGCCAAAGTCAAATAACCAGAATAACCAAAATAAGGAATGCGCTCTCGGACAACCACTAGGGAAACCATGACAGGGCAATGAGGGAAGGTATTTTTAGGTTTAAATACCTGCTTTACTATTCTGATTGGCTGAAATCACTCTTTGACGTCATGCACGCCAACGTCGTCAATCACGTGAGCAGATGTGGGGGTATATTTTGCCGTGGATCCGCAGCGGCCGGCGTTCATTAACATGCCGCAAGTGTCAGTCAAGCAGACGCACAGCCGCTGGGTGCAGAGACTGCAAGGTGAGGAAGAATATGTTACACTTGCTCTCTCCTGAAGGGCAGCACTCTACTCTCTCTTCTAGCTCTGCTTCACTCCCATTTTATTTGATTGCTATTTCCTGTCCTAATGTGTTTTATACCCCACTTCCTATAGACTGCAAGCTCATTTGAGCAGGGTCCTCTTCAACCTATCGTACCTGTAAGTTTTCTTGTAATTTTCCTATTTATAGTTAAATCCCCCCCTCATAATATTGCAAAGCGCTACGGAATCTGTTGGCGCTATATAAATGGCAATAATAATAATAATAATAATTGACAAAAAAAAACTCTTAAAGGACTTTCTTGGCTTTGAAGATGATTTGACATTGAGTTTACTGAATCATGCAAATGCAGATACCACTGGTGGTCGCAAGATGATTAATATTGCAATAGGCAATTTTCTGCTAACAGTAGGGTCACCTTTCAAATCTTGTACAAACAGGAAATAGGTAAAGGGGAGTTTGGTTAATGGGAGGAGAAGGAAATAGAAGTGGCAGGAGCTTGTTGAGTCAAGAGATAGCTATTTTATGATTGGAAATGTGGAACATACTGGTGACCATTACATTTGCAATAGTTGGACTGCTTCTTGTAGATGTGGATGCAGGAAAACATCTCTGGATACTTGGGTCAACTTTCCAAGTTAATGTGGACTAACGCTGAGTAGGTCATGAACAATTTGAGATTCTCTGTTAATAGTGAGGTCACCAAACAGTTCATCCCACAGAAGCCAATACTTTTCATTGAAACTGGAACTTTTCTAAGGTAATTTGAAGTTATGGAAACTCTTAAAAAGATCTGAAAAGATCTGAAGTACACTCTTGTCTATCCTACAATGAATCTCATTACGTCAGCACTTGGTTTAACTTTAATCTAGACCAGGGCTTCTTAACGTTAGTCCTCAGGACCCCCTACCAGTCCAGGGTTTAGGGATTACCTGGGTGTGTTTAGAAAAAGAAAAAAAAAAACACCTTAGAGTCTAAGGTGTTTTTTTCCCTTTTTCTAAACACCTGAGACACACCCAGGTAATACCCAAATCCTGGACTGGTAGGGGGTCCTGAGGACTGGGTTGAGAACCCCTGATCTAGACCTTGACAAATTAAATTTGGCATTTTGCCATTCATATTTTATTGATACCATTTACCTAGTGCAATGATGGCAAAAAATCTAGAATCTGTTCCTAGTTACATTATCCAGCATTCTACTCCATTGATTTGGATCGTAAACATAAATATTAGTTGTGTTTTCATTGCCTACTGATTATTTACTGTACACAAGGCATATTTCTATATTCCAGTAGATTGCCAGGTATTACGCAAAGGAGCACATTCACCTCGAGCAATGACTTGCATTCTCCTATGATCACTGACCATACGCATCTGGTAAGCTCATTAAGTTCATATAAACTTATCCAAAAAGAATGCAAAGTTTGTTTTTCTCTATTAGTGGTCTGGATATTTTTTCTCCTTGAATGAAAACATCTTTGAGTTGGATGCTGC